TCCCTACACAACACGTTTTTTGCTTCATTGCATTGAATAACTTCATTCTTCTCCTTCAGGATGTTCCAAAAGCCTCGCGTCTTTCAGGTAACATTTTGCCAATAACTACTTGGTGTTGCTCCTGCCTCATCTCTTAATCCACTCATTTACCTTATGTTGTGGTATAAAAAAAAAATTATAAAATCTGAGGCACAAAGTTTTGTTTCAACGTCACTGTTCAGGTTCTTTTTATTAGTCCTTTGTTTTACTTAGGAGGAAGTACTGTTTTCATTTCACAAATGGGTAACAGAAAAATCAAAAAATCTGTTTCTAGATCACACAAGTGACTGATGTGGATAGAATTATACAGACTTTTGATTTAGAATACTTAGATGCATTCTAGAATGCTTGTAATTAGAATATTTAAATTTCATTCTAATCTTTTCTAGCTACAAGTGTTCATCTGTGATGGGGTTCTTGTGTCTAGCTGAGTTCCTGAAAAACAGGGAGTGTATAATCCATGCCATTTTCTGAAATACCAGTTTAGCAGTCAACGTCTAGAACATTGTACAGGAGTTGACCAGAGAGAGATAAGGATATACCTGAATACCTTTCTGTGGCATTTGCCGTGAAAAAAAAAGGGGTTTAATAGCCCATTTAATTCCCAGAACAGATGTAGTATAGTTTGTGCAATACTCATGTTACTCTGATTCATCCCTCAAGAAACGTCCAAGTTGCATTCTGCAAGGTTCCCATAAAAAAGATGTTATCATGTACATTAACTGTGTGATGGATATAAAACAAGAGTTGACCTCAGCCTATGTCCTTGTAATTTATATTTTCAAGCATTTATAATCTCATTGCTCGCAATATACACATTGCATATGTATTCCTCTATATATTATGAAGAAAGAAAGAATAAATAATGTCAGTTATATGCTCCTGTAATATCTCCAAGTTAATTTCTGACTGAATCCTAAAGCTTCAGCACAACTTGAGCAGCCACAATACCCACATTGGTAAGTAATAGAAGAAAAACTTTTTCCCTGAAGGGGAATGCATATTGCTATCATTTACAACTTTTTCCCAAATTTCTGTGGTATGTAGCATTTTTCTTAATATCCGAATTCCATGTCATTATGTGAGATTATCAGCATTTATTTTTTCTATTTTGTCATTTTTCAAAACAAAATTGAATATATTATTTTCAAAAAAAGTTTCAAATTAGTAACATGAATTGAGGTTCGGCTTGATTATGTCTTACTGTCTGGGACTGGTAATGTCTCAACCAGGGTATTGGACCAAGTATCTTTGCTCTAACTCCTCTTGTTTTCTTTGCAAATAAGGGTCTTTTTTGCCTTTTGAGGCTTCCTTTTTTTTTAATTAGGAAAAATACAGCAACTAGGTTACAACTGCATATATTTTAATTGAATCTGTCTTCTAAATGAGGCATTTTATTTAAGAATGACAGATTTTTCTTGGTCAGTATACTAGAATTGCTTGGAGTTTACTTGGAGTTCCATCAAAACAGTCATGTGGGTGTTTCACTTGTGAGTTCAGAACAGATACTATTTTAATGCCATAAAACCAGGGAGGGAAAGCCACAATTTACATAAATATTTCCAGTGTATTTTGCTAGTGGACATCCTATTAGAACTAAATATTTAAATCGTTAATATATTTCCTAGTTGCATTATTTTCTTGAGAATCTACTGCAAGTAAAAAAAAGCACTTGGTTGACTGTGTTTTGAATGTTAATTACTCTATTTTCCATGGATTAGGGAAAAACAAAAAGTGGCAAACTAACTTGTGCTTTTGCTTGTGTGCTCCTGAGAGCATAAAGCAGAGTTGAATTTCCATGGTTCATTCAGTCTTTGGCTTTCTTGCTGAGATTTCTTAGAGAAAAGACAGTTAATGTGGTTTGGAAGGGTTCACCTCAGTTGTGTGGGACTTTGTTTTACATAACCTGTGAAACAACCATCAGATAATAAAAACTTTCAATTCAGTCTTGACTTGGACTAGAAGGATATCCCTAAAGTCATTTTTATTGTCTTCTTCCTCTCTACTTCAAATGCAACGACACAAGTTTAATTTACAGTAGAAGAGGTTTATTTACTGGATTCAGTAATTCTGAAGAGAACTTCTGCTGTAAATGAATTATTTATTTTACATGCTTCTAACAGTATGAAGGCTTTTGAGCAGCTACCTCATTTGTTTCTTCCATCCTCTGCATCATCTAGGAAAAAAACATATATAATAAAGGAAAATTAATCAGGTAGGAGATGTTGGGGGAGAGGTGATATACGTGGTATATTTAAAATAAAAATCTAATGTTGGTCTGGCATTAAAATTTTCTGGTTGGGCAGCATAATTTTTAACTGGGAATCTTGATAGCAGTGGCTAAAATCTCTAGGCCTGGGTCAATAGGAATCTGTATTGCATTCTGTCAGGTATCAACCATGATACTTGCCAGGCCTGATACTCCCAGTTATAGCATACGATGATCATATGATTTGTAGAAGGTATAGGGTGTTTTTTTTCTTCCATTAGAGTTTTAGGACTTCGTTATTCTTCATATCCAAATCAAATAAGTAACATGTATTCTTTCAAAAATGTTAGTGAATTCAGCATGCAACGTATGTGCCAGATTGGTAATATGATGAAATAAAAATGAAAAACAAAGCAAGTTTAAAATGCCATGATAAAGCATCATTTATTCCAGAAATTAGAGTCTGTGTCTTTGTCCTATAGAGGTGTCTCAGAGAGTCAAATTGATGTCTTGCATGTACTGCTAACTGATTGTGTGGAAATTTTTTTAAGTTCACTTTTTCTTTATTCTTCTGTCTTTTTTACCCATCTTCCCCCATTGTAGCAAATTAGACGGCCGGATGAAAGCAAAGGAGTTGCTAGTAGAGTTGGATCCCTCAAAGTAAATATGTTTCTAACATTTATTTTGCAAGTTTTCTTCTATAGCCTACTCTTTTCCTTTTGAAGGGGGAGGTGAGGGGAGGGAGGGAAGGGGCTTTTCCATTTCTCACCATCCCATCATTTTTATTTCAGTATTCTTATTGCTGTTGGGTCACATTTTGTTTGTTTCTGTGCTACACATAGAACAACCTACTGAAGGCAGGCTGCCAGTTAGTTAGCTTGGAATGTCACCACAAATAAGAGATAGTAACAACTTTCTTGAAGTGCCTGTAATTTGGTGATCATGATTAAACCACTTCTCTGATATATGTTGTTTGTTGTATCTTAACTGCCTGTTACATGGAGAAGTGACTTACTCATCTTCAGACTACTGCTTCCCATCTTGAAACATAATTAAACGTTTATAGAGCTCACACTTTTTGCATTTAATTCTGCAAAAGATTGTTACAAGAGAGTTGAATATTTCATGTATATCTAGCCTTTAAATCAGGAAAAAAGAGAGTAAATAAAGAGGAAATGAGAGAGATATTCATGTGAGGCTAATAAGAATGGGGCGACTGTTTTGCTAATAATTAGTCCCTTCTGCCTTTTTTATGTTTGTACAAACATACTCAAATATTTAGAGCAATTAACAGTACAGGCAGATACCTAAATCAGTACCCACCATGCATAGTGTTATACCCTAATAAATGGTTTAAAACGCAGGACATAACTTATACCAAGATGCTGATCATGTGCAGTCCAGGCCATTCTGTTAAGTCTCCATCTCAACAGTTGCCTCTTTTTCAGCCATCCAATTTTTCACTTTTTTTCCACTTTCTCAAGCGCTAATTATTTAATTTTTCTTTTGCACTCTCCTTGCCTTTCCTGCCTTCTTGGTTTTTGACCTTTTGGTTTGGTTTTGTATGTGAGTGCATTGCCTTTGTTCCAGGACAAGCCATCCTCTCTGTCCTCTCTAACACTGCTCCACAGGTGCTCTCTGTGAAAATGTTCTTTCACTGAGCATCAAGAAGGGGAGGGGAAGGATTAGTTATGCACCTCTTTCCAGTAATGCCACCATTTAAATTAATCTCAGCGTAGAAAAAGAAGCCCGTTGCTATTTGTTTATACAAGTTATAGCTAGAGGCATCTGTAGCATTCCTCACTGTCTGTGAGGCTTTATCTTTTCATCTTGTGTTCTGGGAAGAGGTTTTAGTTACAGTGTAGATGAGAAGAGCACTGTACAGGAATGAGGCACTGTTTCAGTGGGAGACATTCAGGACCACTGAATTCACATGGAGGAAAATACAAGAAAGGCACAGCTTCTGTGCTGTTTTTGAAAATTGTGTATGTACTTACTGTCACCTGTGCATTTTAATGGGTCATCACACACCATTCTACATGTGTAATGCACATACATATGCAGAAGATGTAACCTGTTTAGGTGCTGGGATTCACCTATTATTTTTATGCACACCCACTGACACCTAATTTACGATTATTATTTCTGTATCTGATTGCCCAGGATTTAGCTTCATGAACCAAAATATATATTTAAACACAAAATCTTACATCCTTAGAGAAAACGGGAAATCCTAACTGAGGTTCCCAAACGTGAAAATTTACCTCTAAAAAGTTTTTTTTTGATGGAAATAAGTTCTAGAACACAGCCTTACCGATAAACAAGTGAATAAATAAATAAATGAACAATGTAGCAGTGATTCAGTAGCTTTAGAATGATCCGTCCCTTGATTTTTCAATTTTTTTTCCTGTACTGAAAAAGAGCCATGTTAATCGAGAAAAATATCTTGTTTCCGGTCTCCAAATCTACTGAGCTTGTATGTCTGTGTTGTTCAAAGCACTTTGATGTCTTGAAATGTTTTGCCAGAGGCAGTGAGAAATGTGTTATGCTATGATTTATTAAAAAAAACCCAAACACAAAAACAAAGAACAAAAGAAAAAAGAAAAAAAAAAAGTGTGACATGAGAACAGGTTGCTTTTTCAATTCATTTTCTGATGTTTACATGTAGCTCCATCGAAAGCTGGAGGAGCTCAGAGATCACCTAGAAGGCAATGTCAAAGGATGCTCTCTCCGAGTAAATGTACGATTTCACTCGGTGATCTGTTGTTTTTTTTTTTTAAAACTTCCACTGGCTGGTATCACCAAATCTGATTGGTTTGTCCTCTCATTCCCATCTTTTTCCTTTCTCTCTCTCTTTCTCCCTTTGTGTTTTCTTTCTTTTCTAGCTGGGGTTTCATTTTAATGTGTGTGAGAAACATGACCTAATTGACAGGGTTTATTTGAAAGAATATCCTACTACATTTTCAGGAACGCTAATCAACTGCTTGGCTTTACAGCAACTAAAAAAAAACCTTTCCAAAATTGAGGTTGGCTATCTAAATGTTTCCTGAATATTAAACTTAGCAACAAATGACATAGATGTCCTTAATTTAAATGAAAAAAATATCTTCTGCCAGTAATTGATAGCCTTACCTGAACTGAAGACTATGGCTGAAATAAGGTAACCCAAAAGTATATAGGTTTGCATGTACCTCTCTCCTTGCCTTTAATCTTTTTGGGTCCCTATTTTACCTCACAAAATAGGTTAATATTTGGTTGAATGCCAGCTATGCAAATTTTGTTGCTTGTTTTTTTAGCAGGCTAATATAAAAAAATCTGCAGCATTTTTCTTACGCATTTGGTTTGTTCTTTAACAAAAAAAAAATCTTGAGATAGTATATCAGTCATGGCACACCTATAAAGTTGCCCATTTTTCACAGAAATACTTAATAAAGCAAGTCAAATCCAATATAACAATACAGACAGCAGTACCTCGTGTTTCGTAGTTCACCTCATAAATTAAGATCAGCTTTTCAGCAATTAACTCTATAGAAGTGAATTTAAGCTGTATAATTTAATGTATAATGAAAAGTAGAAAAAAGGGGCAGTTGTGAGGATAGTAGATGAGAAAATTAGTAACCATTTATCTCTTTGCACATGCATCCAGTGAAGATTCTCAGAATAATTTCTTTAGATTCATGTCCTGTTTATGTCTTCCATACACTATGACTTGTCATTTTCAGCACTATCATTCTAATGCATATTCCACTCTGGTTATATAGTGCAAGATAGTTTTGGTAATGATAATGATTTGATAATTTTTATTTGTTTTGGATGCTTTTGCATATCCAGCTACGTATCCCACATAAAGTTGATTTCTGCTCATTGTCAAATAGAAGTCTCTGAGTTTATAGTCTTTTGCAGCTCAAATACAAGGAAATTTAGCTGCCAATATATTGCAGCTTTCTGCAAAATAAATTTTATTAGAGTACTTTATCTTTTCCCTGGCAAATCTTTAAGAATCAAGTTCTGAGGGGCATAAACTGTGTGATATTTTAGATTTGGTGGGATCTCAAATTTATTAGTCATAATCAAGACAAAGCAAGTTCCTTTATTTTAGAATCCTCACTCTTCAATTTCATCATTTAGTACTAGCGAATAAATATAAAGCAAAAAAAAAAATTATGCCATGAACCTTTGTACTACAAAAAAGGTGTTCTCATCACATGTTATTTCACAGAATGTCACATGAGGAGAGGTTTCAAATGAAAAGCTGTGACCACATTAGCTATGACAAATTAGTTGGCATGCAATTGTCCTGTCCCTCTGTGCCACTTTATGCGTTATTCTGTGGCCGTACCCTGCACAATGTAAGGAAGGTAGTCAGAGTGAACTAAGAATTGTTCCATATGGTCTGCATATGCCCTTCAAGTTTCTTAAAACAAGCAGGACACATTGCAATTCTAGTAACATATAACTAAAATCTCCTGCTTTGCCACTGCCACCCTGATTCGTGCTGTAGTAATGGATGTGTTAGATAAGGCAACATTTTAAAAGACAATATACAAATGACTGATCAAAGAATAGGCCAAATCCTTACTAAATAGTGGACAATTGGAAGGAAAAAAACAAAACAAAACAAAAGAGGTATCTGTTAATAGTTCATCTTTGAAATAATATTCATCTCTTCCATACTGCTTTTGGAAAGGAGGTTAGATGTAAGTTCTTAGTACTCCTACAATGTGGCAAATGTATTGAATGGTGTGGGAGGGGGAGCATATAGTATCTGACGGCCAGCCTCATAAGTGACAATGAAATGCTATTGCAGCATTGCGTATGCTATTAAGGTGGAACCTTTGTTCCAGAATGAATTGCAAAGACGTGCTTTCCAGATTAAATTCAAAGGCCATTGGAAATATGCAGGAAATACCAGAATTCTGCAGAATATCCCAGATTCCACTGAAAGTTTAGAAAGCCTGCCGGATATTTAAAATAAAATTGCACTGAAAACATGCATGAAAATGTGAGTTAATTAAGCAGTTCTGAGGGTTGAGTACTTTTCATTTTAAACACTAATTTTAATATCAGCAGTAACGCATAACCATTTACAAAATAAGTTATCCTGACCTGAGATTTGTTTTTCCATTTCTTCTTGAGATCTTCATTCATCTTCCTTGCAGCTATTCCAGTTCTTTTCATGGCTTAATTCTTTGACCCCTCCCAGAGACCTGTGTTTGAAGCTGAAGTTAAATATCATTTAGACGAATTAGTCTCCTATCACTTGGACATGTTAGCATTCCCCTACTGTTCAAATTAATGTAGCAGTGCAAATAAGTGCATTAGCTACTGAAAAGATGAGCAGTGAAACAACTGAGTGGTTTATATTTTAGAACTCATAATACCTGCTAAAATTGATACCCTCCTGAAAGTGTCAAGTTCAGCTGAGATTCAACAGAATAATACTGCTTCAATCTGTTTTTTGAAGATTTTTATTATTTTTTTTTGTAATCGTGCAGGCTAAGAATTTTAAAAGCAAGTTTAAAATCTGCAGAAAGATATTATGGAAAGCCCATCAGAAAAAAAACCTAAATCTGAGTATAGAAATTGTACACAGAGTTCCCAAGCATTATGCAAAACAATTTTCATGTGGCTTTTGACCAGCATCGTTCCAAATGAAAGGT